TGGTGGGATCGGACTGCAGATGGCGGAAGTGTCGGAGGATGATGCGTTGGATCCGGAGGTTGGTGGGGTGGTACTTGAGGACGAGGGGGATTCTGTTTTGGTTGTTATTGCGGGGAGGGGGTGTGAGGGATGAGTTGCGGGAAATGTGGGAGACACGGTTGAGGGTGTTCTCGACCACTTAACGGGGAAGTTGCGGTCCTTGAAAAACAAGGACATCTGAGATGTACGGGAGTGGAATGCCTCATCCTGGGAGCAGATGCGGCGGAGGCAAAGGAATTGGGAATAGGGGATGGCATTTTTGCAGGAAGGTGGGTGGGAGGAGGTGTATTCTAGGTAGCTGTGGGAGTCGGTGGGCTTGAAATGGATATCAGTTTCTAGGTGGTCTTGTTTTTTTTGCAATTGATTGTTTCTACAGAGTTCAATGGTTTCACATTTAATATCTTTGCTGTTTTGCTGCAGAAAACATTAACCCGTCGTGCTTCTTCGCACTCTGATATTCCATGCCCTCACTAAAACACTGGGCTGGATTTTACCAAAAATCGGCAAAGTGTCAATTTCAGGGAGTTTCATGGAGTGTTTCCATCCTTGAGCACTAGTGAGTCATCTCACACAACTCTCCACTGCTCACCTCATTATGTGTGCACCATATCCCCACTTTTCCACACTCACGCTGTCATGCCCTCACCAGCAATGGAAGGATTTTCTACTGCCAGGACCTACCAGGATCTGTGTCACCAGGGCCATATTTAAAGGCCAGCCAAGCACCGAGTCAAACACTGCTAGCCACAAACAGCTCTGCACAGTACACGTACTGGGAGGGAAATATAACAGAAAAGCTACTGACAGCACATAGGTGACATGGGTGACACTTCATTGAAAACAGACCCTCACATTTGTCAACGTACTGCCTTTACTTCTTCACTTGTCTGATTGACTGCTATTATAAATGCAGCTACAAGAACCACACTACAGAGGCTACCCATCCTTAGCTCCATACCATGTGACAACCCTGTCTAAGGCAGTCCATCACTTCCCTTAATACCCAGTGTAGCATTACAACTTCTCATTGTCGAATGTGGGAGTAGCACACATTGGAATGCCTTCAAACAGTTATTAACGTTAACTTTTATTGAATAACAGGAAAAGTGTGAAAATAACTAAATAAACCTGCATTTGCTTCTGGAAATAAACATGGACTGCTTGCCTTTTGAACATCAAAAAACTTGAATGATGACTTCATGCAACTCGTGTCTACTGGAACTGGGTGTCAAGTAAGTCATGTATGACTTGTTGCATCCAACGGTGCAGCACTCTATCATGCTGAACATGATGTTTCTCCTGCCTCGTTCTCATCTTCCTCCTTAAAAGACTGCTATTGCTCTCCCAGCTCTTCAGAGTCTATCACACTCCCCTCTTTGTTTGCTCCAGTGTGCAGGGCACAGCACACTAGGACTGTGTGGAACACACTGTGTGGACTGTACTGCAAGGCTCCCCCAGACTAATCAAATCATCAGAACCCTATCTTCAGGAGATTTATCACTTGCTTCAGAATGGGCCTGGTGGATGAGTGGGCTGCATTGTATCTGTGTTTTGTTTCAGCCAGTGGGTTGAATAATCGAGTCATCAGCAGAGGGTAACCATCCTTGTAAGGTCCTCGAAATGAAGCAGAAACCTGACAGTTATCACGAATAGGGGCAATATGACAGTTTCCAGAGGATTTAGTACAAACCCCAATAGGTGATACCAATGATCACAGATGATTGTACTGACTGAATGGAAAACATTTCTGTTGATTAAAGTCTGCCGTCTTAGACTATGGTGCTGTCAGGGTGAGGTATGTACGGTCTATCTGCAGCCCTGCAGCCAGGGGAAGCCAGCTATGTTGGCAAAGCCTACTGCCTGGCCTACAGCACTGACCCTGTCAGTGAGAAATGAGATGAAGCAGTGTGATCTGGCACAAGTTGCATCGGTAATAGCCTTGATACATTTGTGAGTTGAGGAGTGAGACATCCCTCACAGGTCCTCATGGATCCTTGGAAGCCACCAGCTGCATAAACATTTAGTGCAGCTGTCACCTTGACATCAACAGAAGATGGCCACTCACTGACCTCCAAATTGCAATCCTGCTCCAGCAGATGGCATCATTCTGTGATGGTGTCCAGGATCATCTCCATCTGTGGCAGCAACACACCTCACTCATCAGAAGGACCTTCAGCTATGAGCTCTTCATGTGGGAGCTGTTCATTTGCTGCTGGTTCATTTATTCCTCCTCAGTTTCTCTGTGTCTTTGTTGTATCACAACCAGTGCTAACCTCTCCTTAGCAGCATCTATTGGTCATGGTTCCAATGAGACTATGTGATGAATATTAGAAACAGAACAGCTGTGTGTGTGCAGTGTTCATTTACATCACACACAAATGGCAGCTTAGCATAACCCCCAATAGAATGGGACATGGTGGAATTTGGGTTGCTTGCACATGGATCTTTAACATACTAGGCCTTATATTCAGACATATGCGGCACAAGCCATGTTGCTTAAATAAAGTAGGAGATTGTAAGTGCAATATGATTACTGAAACATATGTTCCTGAATCCCCATGCCACCCCCTCAACCCCATCCCCATCCTCCACATCAACCAAGAAAGGCAACATTGCATATAAGAGCACATTGTCAAATATTTACAATTCAAGATGACAGAAAATCAACTCTATGCACTCATGTAGCCAATGGGAACATGGATTGTCTTTATGAATTATGGCCTGTTGGTGACACTTTTAAATTCACTTGTGATTACTTTAGCCTCATAGACATGACCATAATCAGTCTGAACTGACCATTGATTTGTTACGATTGCTACTGGCCAGGATCTGTATCCCAATCAATTGGTTGTTAAGTGTTTCACACACAGGATTCTATGATCACAGATGCCCTCAACCTGTCCTGTGTAAATGCCTGATTATATTAGCTGCCCTGAGAAGGTCCTCTCGTTGCTCACAAATACAACTCAATTTCTCAGACAAAGAAAAAAACACTTACTCTACCTACTCCAGTGTGCTGGCAGCTAGTTTCTATTTCTGTTTTGCATTTGCAATTCAGGTGAGGATGGAAGGCATCATTGGTCATGCTTCACAGACTGAGTTGTAGGCTCAGCCTGTTATATCTAGGTGACTGCCCAATCCCTCTTGTTCTTTTCTTCCTTGCACTGTCTACCCCATCAGTTTTGAGCTTCCCCACCCATCTCTTTCATTGAAATCGCCATCTCCCTGCATTATTCCTGAGCTCCAGGTCTACAGTTAGTCAAGCCACCTATTGTTATGCAACATTCCCCCATCAAATCTAAGGTGATGCTGACTATCAGTGACAACGCTCCCACAGTAACCATGTCTTCCAATGCACTATTGTCTCCCACCTTTACATGTTGTGGAGCCCCCTTCCCATCCCATAATAATTATAGACCCCCAGCATCCCAGCGTGCTGTCTCCAATTCCCACAACTGACTTCCCCAAATTGCCCACCACAGTGGCCCCTGATAAGCTAAATTGACTTTCAGTGAACAGGCATTTTGGAGATCATGGCCCAAGCCCTGACTAACTTGGAATGGCAGCCTTGCCTGATGATGGAGCAAAGCCCTGATTGATCTCTGTCCAGCTCCCAAACTGATTCACTGCTAATCCGCAGACTTGCTGCATTCAATCTGCAGGAGTGACCATGGCCCATTCCCTAGTCTTCAATGATACAGAACATCTGAAACCTAATGTCTCATGTGGCCAAATGTCTTTGTCCAAGCCATCTGACTAAGATAACACAATGTCCTTTACTGATTATGGTGGAACCCTTGACTAACAGCAGTCACCCTTGAATTGCCAGAGAACTACTTCCCTTAGACTTGCAGACATGACATAGAAGCATATTCAGCATGCTTGCTGTGTAAGCTGCTGGCACATGCTGTAGATGTGACACTGATGTAGTGTGGTGTTGAACAGCTACATGTTCACCTCTTCACCAATCACTGCAACAAGATAAACTGCCTGGCTTTGTGTGAGCATTAAAAGACAAGGTGAGACAGAACTACTGTGAGCCTTTAATTTCTGACTGAGGGGACAATGCGCAAAAAGGCAAGGCAAGTGCAAAGAAATGCTGTGAGCATTCAAGAAATGACCAAGTGAATGAACACGAACAAAGCAAGCTTTCTTGTGGTGCATTGGTATTGCCCTTACCTATAAGCCAGGAGGCCTGGGTTCAATTCCTGAACACCACCTGCTCCAGAGGTATGCATTTACATCTCATTATTACCTAATCTCGCCTTATCTATTCAGATTGCTGTTTTCCCAGGCAGTGGAGAGAAACCAGACAGCAACAGCTGTTGATCTGGTGTCTTTGCTAGGTCTTCCACTTGCTCCAGAGGTGTGCAATGACATCTCTGAATACGTTGATTGTAAATATTCAGAAGTCCTGAGATGCTCCCAGTTGTGATGTATGAGATGATATGTGCCCCTGTGCGCAAAGATACCTGGTAGCAGCATGGCAGCAAAAGGTGTTGGTGCCAACTTCCTTGGATGACGGACGGTTGCTGCCCATGGAGTGTGCCCTGAGATGCTGGGAACTGCTGTCCCAGATGGAACCCCAGAGGAGCAAATGATGAGCTGAATCTACCAGGTACCTGCTCAGACTTTCACGTCAGGAGTTGTTGCTGTCTAATTTCAATCCACTACCTCGGAAATAACAAACTGTAGATAAATGAGATTACATTAGGTAATAATGAGATATTAATGCATATAAATAAGCCTCTTGCCACTTACTTGTGAGATTCTTGTCTCACCATTCAAACCTTGGATGGAAAACCAAAAGGTTTTTGCATGACATTAACAATGTCTTCTTTCAATTTTCATCATGTTTAGCCAACTGACTCCACCATTGCCCATAGGTTCCACCTGTTAATTTAAACGCAAGTTTGAGTTCCAAATTTGATAATCTAATTGATTCAGTTGAACATAATTACCTTGTACCATTTCAGATCTTCTTTATTATTCTGGTACTCTTCCATTTGTGGACAAAGCAATTCAATAGATGTTCCAATGTCAGCATCTCGTTCATATGTTAGTTCTTCAGTGTAACAACCTTCATTGATTGGTGTAACATCCAAAGTCACGTTTTCACCCATGATATTGTGAGTTCCATTGCTATTATGCAGAAAGCAGGTTAGAATAAATGATGCTGAACATAAATTTGGGAAAATAAATAACAAGAACTGATGTAGCAGTCAGTTCCAAATTAGACTGCTTTATTCCCTCTCACTTCTTGCTCTCTACAATAGATTTTTGCACAAGGTTCACGATCATTCATAGTAATGAAGCAAAAGGCACTCACATTCCAATGATATTATTAACCCAACACACATTTAATCAGCTGCTTAACCTGAATTGTAAGTCAATGTAAAGCCGTTTTCTGCAGCACTCTCACAATATAATCATCATCTACAAGGCTCAAATCAGAGCTACGATGGGATGCTCACCACCTCCCTGAAAGAACAGAGTACCAAATGCATGAAATAGTCCAGGACAAAGTAATACATTTCTTTGGTACCCATAGCAATAGACTCAATATCCATGCCCTCCACTGCAAGAACACTGCGCTGAAAGTATATTCCATCAGCAACAATTCATGAGCTTTGTGTTAAAAGACTGTCCTAACTGGATGATCATTACCAGTCAGATGTTCAGAAACAGGAGAACCTCATTACCTTTAATTCCAATCAACTTAACTTGACGAAATATTTATGTTCCTTTCATGTCACCGAGTCAAAACCATGAATAAACGTAACACTGCAAAGACTGCAGGGGAAATAAGTATTAATTAACATGGCCTTGCCGAGTCTGGGGGAAAAGTAGAGTTGGATCTGGGTCAGCGTAAGGTGGGGTGGTGGTGTCGGGTCCAGGAGGCACAGTTGGAATCAGTGTGGTTGGAACGCAAGGAGGAGGGGCATCAGATGTCATGGGAACCAGGTCTGAGGGGTTCAGGTACCTGCAGGTAGATATGGAGGGGTGTGTGTGTCTGCATGTAGTGGGGTGGGGGGTTGTCACTTTCATGTCCTCTAACTGTTTCTGGCTAACTATTCAGGGAAATCAGTTGGAACCCTCAAAGTCTCAAACACTAACTCAATTTTGAGGATATTTTCAGAGTGTTCTGGGTGCCAGATAATTGCCCATTAGAGTTTTCAACTTTGCAAGCAATTTCCATGGACTCAGCTACATTGGGCTGCAAATCTGCAAGTTTTCAACTCACAACTGCCTAACTGCTACAACAATTAACGACTTATGGGAAGATCTGGGCCAAACTGATTAACATCACCTAGTTAATGTTCAATTTCTAATACCATAAAGGCTACGTAGTAGTATGCAATGGATTTGATCTAAAGTTATTTATCTTAATGTAGAGAAGTAAAGTTAAAGCTCAACAAGCAGCAATAGCCAGAGAGTATCATATCCAAAGAAATGTGGTTAGAGAAAAATTGAAGAGAGTATTCTGGTTGGCAAAGTACAAGTCATTGATTTTGAAAACTGTCAGCCAGGATAAAAGTTGAAAGTTTTTAAGGAGAAGTTTTGCACTTTGTGCTTGTTGATAAAGGTGAGAATGAAAGACCAGGGCATTGAACATTCTCAGCCTGTGGTCTTCTCTCCATAATTTTCAAAAAAATCAAAAAACACAGGCTACTATGTGCAGTCTATCATCAAGTGTAGCTGTAGGATAGATATAAGTGCAAGGAAAATAGATGAACAGTCAAAAAGGAGATCAAAAAGGAGATGGTGAATAGTGATAATGGGGAGTGAAAACATGTGTCAATGGTATGAATTGAATAATATTGAAAGGGAGTGTGGTTAGCAGAGTAAGCAAATGCCTGTAAAGAGCAGGTAGAATAGTGGCTTAAAAAGGGGACTGAACAGCAACAGGAGGGAGAAGAAGGCAAACTGTGGTGCTGGTGCTTTTGAAAGAAAAATGAAAAAGCTACGAGAAAAGCAAATACCAGCATCAGCTGCAGGAGATTTGGGAGGGAACATGTCAAAATGAAATGAGGGAAGGCAAAGCATGATCCTTAGGCCACCAGGGAAAGTAAAGAATACGACTTTGAATGGACAGACTGGAGTAAAAGTACCAGATTTGTTATATTGGTTCAGGCACAGGGTTTCAAGCTCCAACATATACGAGTCAAGAGTGCTATTGAACTGGAAATTTTGAAGATAGTCTCCCTGTGAAAGTTATAGGTGCTAAACCCATGCATGTGATTTGCAATCTGAGGCAGTAAGGAACTATCCAATTACCTCTGGGTCATTAATAGTCCCATTGGCCTGTTGAAATTCCATAAATGGACTTATTAATTTTTAGATTGAAAGACTCATCACATAGCAAACTACTTACAATGTCAAAAGTCAACCTTGTGAAATATTCCATAATTCCCTACCAATGCATTTTCAGTATCTGTCATTATTCTTCAGACTGTTTTTCTTCTTCTCATCAAGAAATGTTGGATACACCAAAAGGTTAAGTTTAAAGTGAGAGGTAATTAACGGCTAGATCTTAAGTTGTGAGGCATTTTAGGAGATTTGTCAATATATTCCTGGTTTTCATCATAACGTTGACTGATGGCATCCAATTCAAAAGAATGACCCATCCCCTCCCTCCACACACACCTGCCAGCATGCATAATTATCATTATTGCTACTTACAAGAACAAACAGAAGTATCTTCCAGTATCATTCAAGGTTGCAGGCCAAAAACCGAGCAAGAATCCTTCAACAGTAAACCTGCCTGTTCTTCCTACAAGTTCAATACTACCATTTCCATGTAGGTCCTTAAACCAAGTAATTGCAGATCCATTTGTTTGAAGGTCATTCATGGCATGACAAGTAGATGAGACACACAATCTACAACGTAAGCGGGCATGTTCGCCTTCAAGGGCATAAACTGTTGTCATTACATCTGCAGGACATCTGTCAATCTGATTTGCTATAAATAATCAAAGTTTTTAGACTTTGTTAGAATACAGCAGCATGTTACACCACAGTGAAAAATGTAATTTTGAGAGGTAGATATTTAGTTTACAATAATTTATATTAATCATAAAATCAGAATGATATAAAAGTTGAGATAAAGATATTAAGAGGGTTAATTAAAATTTTAGTCAAAATTTGGGTATTCAAGAGTGGTATTAAAGTAGAGGACACAAGTGGAGAGTTTAGGAAACTCTGAAGTCTAGAGCTAAGGTGGTTGAAGGCGTAGCAAATAATGATGGGGCAAAGGTAATGGAGGAGGCACAGAAGGCCAGAGCTGGTAAAAACAGCATTCTTAGATATTTTCAGGGCATGAGAAATATAATAAGATACAAAGAGTTGCATCCATGAATAGATTTAATGACAAAGTTGAGAATTTAAAATTTAAGGCTTTGATAGTCTAGAAGAAAATCTCGGGATGTCGTGTAGAAGAGATGGGGCAGTAGCGTTGTGGTTGAGCTGGACTCTATGATGGCTGGGAAGAAGGAATGTAGTATTGGAAACAAAAACAGAAATTGCCTGAAAAAGTTCAGCAGTTCTGGCAACATCTGTGGAGAGAAATCACAGGCCTTGTTTCCAGGGAGTGGAGTCAGAGGGAGGAGCACCCAGAGCACGGTAATATAAATCTAACTTACCTCAGGGATTCGTGGCCTTGTTTCCCGGAGCGGAGTCAGAGGGAGGAGCACCCAGAGTAACTGAAACCTAACTGGAAAGGTGACATCACAGGAGAACTGTGACCTGATTGGCTGGTAGGAAATCTGCCCAATGTATAGAAAGGACACTCCAGAACTAATAAATAAATTAACTAACTGGGATTAACCAACTAATACCTGAATTAACCAAGTAGAGATGGCTAGGCAGGTGATGTGCTGTAGCTGTATGATGTGGGAGCTGGCGAATCCTATTGTGAACTGGAGTGACCATATCTGCAGCAAGTGCAATGTATTACCATGGATCAAGGATTGGTTAACTAACAGGAAGCAAAGATTGGAGATAAAGGAGTATTTTCCCGGTTGGCGGACAGTGACTAGTGGTGTGCTTCTGGGCTCAGTGTTTGGACCGCAGTTGTTTATAACTTACGTAGATGATTTGGAGTTGGGGACCACATGTAGTGTGTCAAAGTTGGCAGATAACACTAAAAGATGAGTGGTGGAGCAAAGTGTGCAGAGGATTCTGAAAGTTTGCAGGGTGATACAGATCGTTTAAGTAAATTGATGAAGGTCTGGCAGATGGAATTCAATGTTGATAAATGTGAAGTTATCCATTTTGGTAGGAATAACACTAAAAGGGACTATTACTTGAATGGTAGAAAATTGCAGCATGCTGCTGTGCAGAGGGACCTGGATGTCCTTGTACATGAATTGCAGAAGGTTGGTTTGCAGATACAACGGGTAATTAAGAAGGCAAACGGAACTTTGTCCTTCATTGGTAGAAGGATTGAGTTTAAAAGCAGGGAGGCTATGTTACAGCTGTATAGGATGCTGGTGAGGCCACACCTGGAGTACTGTGTGCAGTTTTGGTCTCCTTACTTGAGAAAGAATGTACTGGCACTGGAGTGGGTGCACAGCAGATTCACGAGGGTGATTCCAGAATTGAGATGGTTGGCTTATGAGGAGAGGCTGAATAGACTGGGATTACATTCATTGGAATTTGGAAGAATGAGGGGGGGAATCTTACAGAAACATATAAAATTATGAAGGGGATGGATAAGATAGAAACAAGGAGATTGTTTCCACTGGTGGGTGAAACTACAATCAGAGGGCATAGCCTCAAAATTAGGAGGACCAGATTTACGACTGAATTGAGGAGGAATTTCTTCTCCCAAAGGGTTGTGAATCTGTGGAATTCGCTGCTCAGTGAAGTAGTTGAGGCTTCCTCATTGAATGTTTTTAATGTTAAGATAGATAATTTTTTGAACAGTAAAGGAATTAAGAGTTATGGTGAGAGGTGAATAAGCGGAACTGAGGCCATGAAAAAAAACCAGCCATGATCTTATTGAATGGGGGAGCAGGCTCAAAGGGCCAGATGGCCTACTCCTGCTCCTGGTTCTTATGTTCTTAATGCTCCGGGTCCAGTGACCCTTTCTCAGAACCAGCAGTTTACTGTGGAGGTGACAAAGACAAGAGTGAGACAGCATTGAAGGCAGGCAACTCTACAAAATTGAAAGTAGATTTTCTGCCTGATGGAAACAATTGGAGTCATAAGTTCAGCTCAGGGTCAAACATTATGCTGATGTTGTGAACAAATTCATTCAACCAAAAATAATGGTCACTGAAAGGAAGGTAACGGTGCAGAATTTGTAACCAAAGCTGAAATGCTTTCTTTCCTTTAAAGTTTTAACTGAACAAGACTGTGACTTAGTCAAGGCTAGATATTCAACAAGCAATTTGAGAATACCAGATTAGCCAAGGGAAGTGGTGAAGAGAAAGGGCTAGTGTATATGTAGAAGCTGAGCCTATATCTTCAGATGAAGAGGTAAGATGTAGCTGATGAAGAAAAGGGGTCCCAGATGTTTAAGAGGTATTGTAGTACAGTACATGGCTTGGAAAGAATCCATTACCTGAGATTCTATGGTTTTGATTTTATGGGCAAGAGTAGGCAGTCTACACATATTCCTACATTACCAAAATCCAAAAACTTTCAGACTTTTTTTTGCAAAACAGAGAACTTGGAATTTTTACAATCATAATCTACAAAAGCTAAAGGAAAAGACAGAAGTAAACACAGAGTTTAGCAAGCAATATGAGCAAAATCTGACACAATTTACATGTAATTTATGAGCTCACAAATAGAAAATCTAGACAGATCTTACCTTTAGTACTGCATCCATTCGCCATTTCAGATATGGCAAATGTTAACAAAAATATCCAGAACATTGCAATCACCCTGCAATTCAGAGTAAAATGTTACAGTTTGATTTGCCTCAGACTAGTACAAAATATCAATAAAAAGAAGACAGTGACATGTTCCCTATTCAATCACTAGATCATGCTACATTGAGGTACACATAAAATGGATATTTGCAGACATACGTTGACATGATACCGTTATCCTCAATCACAAAAGGCTCATAGGTTGCACACAGAAGGCTGTCCACCACCTGTTGCTGTGCCTAGACGTTACACGTTGCATACTAGTATCAAGGGGAAAGCTCAATGGAAGGAATCAGAATGTTCACACAAGAGGTCATTGTAGCAGTTTAGAGGGACTAACATTTGGATGAGAGTCTAAGGTTGCTTCCATCTCATGAAATATATACTGGTGTGTTACCACTTTAAGACCCGAATATGCAAGTGAGCCAAGGACTGGGAGAAGGGCACCCGACAAGCAGCAAGGAGAACTCCAAGTAGCAGCATGCTACACAAAGGATATGTCCACATGTTGCTCTGGAACTGCAGGTCATCAGTTTGTCTTAACCTATTTGAGAATTTCAAGTAAATTGAACCTACTCTGTTTACAAATCCAGTAAGGGAGTGGCAACTCTGTGTTAAGGATCACAAGAACATGATATGGTAATCAGCAGGGATTTATCCTGAAAAAATTCAGGCAGTGATAGAACTTGAAAACCACAGAAAAAGGCTTCAGACAGGATTTGAAGCAATACTGTAGTTACAACTACAAAGAGATATCAGGGAAAAAAAAATCACTACACAAACAGTGCAGGCTAAGCAGGAAGAACTTGATTTGCGAGCTACCCAGAGTGGTGGAGGCAGCCAGAGGGTCAGTTCTGAGCTGAGCTAAGGAAGCCACAGTGCACCAGGAGTAGCTTCAGGTGTCATGTTCATGCACAAAACAAGCATACACAGCAACAAAGCTTGAGCCAAGAAACGAAGGGAGTTTTTTAAGCAAAGCAAAAGCAGTATAGCAGCTAAGAGGCACGGAGTAGCCTTATAGTCTCCCTAGTATCACAGAAAGCTTTAGGTTTAATATTGCCTTAAAGAATATAAGTTTTGAAGGATTGCATAAGAAGGGATTTGTTTCAAGCTGTGTGGACGTAACTGGAATGTTTCTTTAAAAGAGATGATTGAAAGTTCTCCATGGAGCAACATTGAGGAGAAACAGAAGTAAATTTACATGTATTTGGAAAAGCAAAGACTGATTAGGGATAGTCGACATGGCTTTCTGCATGGGAAACTGTGTCTCACTAACTTGATAGAGTTTTTTGAAGAAGTAACGAAGAGGATTGATGAGGGCAGAGCAGTGGACGTGATCTACATGGACTTCAGTGAGACATTTGACAAAGTTCCTCATGGTAGATTGGTTAGCATGGTTAGATCACATGGAATACAGGAGAACTAGCCATTTCGATACAAAAATCGGCTTGAAGGTGGAAGACAGGATGGTGATGGAGGGTTGCTTTTCAGACTGTTACACAACGTAAGCATAAGAATTTCCAGACAGAAGATTCTGATCAGAGTTCCTTAAAATGCAGAGCCACACGTCCAATCTGACAGGTCCATTGTAGTGTAGAACAGTCAGGGGAAAGAAATCAATAACCAGTAAAATCAGCAGTCAGTTGCTGCACTAACTTAGAGATGCAGAATCACAAACAGCCACCTTGACCAACCACTGTGAAACAGTAAGTACAAAAGATAAGTGTAAGGATAGGATGCCTGCTGGCTAGGGAAGGTGACGTAGTGCAAGGGGCCCACATAGATGATGGAGTGTTTACGGGAGGTGGAGGTGGACGGATGGCTAGAGGAGTTGTTGTCTTGTATAAGGGGAGGTGATTGGGTCCTGCAAGGTTTGGGTCTGCCAGTGGGTGAAGGGGAGGTCAGGTTTACAGCACACAAAAGGGAGGTTGATTCTGGTGGTTCGGCAGGGGACTGAGCCTCATGTTGACGCAGTTAAGGTCAGATCCAGGGGAAGTTACACGCATTTGATGTAAGTTGGTTGGAGGGGGGGATGTCAGTTTAATAGGTGTTAGACTAGGCTTTTAACAGTCTAACATTTCCTGAGTAACTGTTTACTTAATTGCGTGGAACCCTCCAATTTAAATGGACGCTTTCAGAGGGTCCTAGGCTTAGGGGAATTGGCCAGTAGAATCTTCAATTTCTTGGGGATTCCTTCAGAGTTTACCATGTCAGGGATTCTGCAGTGTCACCTGTACTCAAGTCCCTTCTATGCCTCAGGAAAAATTTCCAGCTACTGGAAATTACAGGTCGCAATGTCAAAATCTGGGGGTGACACCAAATTGGAGTGTATAATTAATAGTGAGAAAGTCCAGAGCAAAACATAAGTAGGCATGAAGCACATTAGATTGAATAGCCCTTAAGAACTGGCAGAGGAATTGTAATGCACAATAAACCCACTCCTGTTGGCTGCACTGCAGGCTGTGTACCACCATTCAGGAAATCCCTCCTTCCTTTTTGTTTTGTATCAAATCCATTTGTACATTGGCAGAAAATCTTGGTGCATGCACTCTCGTGTAAATTTATTCCTCATCTGAGTGAAACGTATGAATGCTGTTAAACAGACTATATTTTCGATTTTTCACACGCCCTTGTTTTTACATAGATCACCGCAGAGTTAATTCCAGTCACTTTCCTCGCCAAAGATCCTTGGCCTGTACAAATATCTGTCCCACTGTGCCAGGGTATGTTTCCATTTTCCATACCTAAGTATCCATCTACCTTAATGCCACACCAGAGGTCGTCTTGTGCAAATGGCCTGAAACCATTGGTAACTGAGCTGAAAATGCCCAAACTCAAATTTAATAAGATTGACAGTTAACACACAGGGGAATCTTTCAATCCATCATTCCAGGGAGACTGGAACCTAAATACAGAGGGAAAAACAAATGTAAAACCCATGTCCTTCACCAGAATGTGTTTGTTGTTAGTCAATTAAGAATTTAGATTATTGCATTTCCATTATTGTTGTTCTTTATTCATCTTAAAATACTGAAATTTAAACAGATCTGACTGTCTTCTGTAAGTCAGTCTAAGGTAAAATGCTTCATTGGAGGAGGCCTATACTTGACCGAATCATTTGAAGTCTTCCATTGTATCATCTAAGTATGTAAGTATCCTCAAAAGAAGCTCCACCGCCCCATACGCCATTCTTTAATAGCAGCTGATACCCCTCATCGGAGCAAAGAATAGGTAAGTGATTCAGCAACAGAGACAACAGGGTAGTGCTACGGGTGGTATTTCAGTACAGCAATGTGATTCAGCACACAGCCAATAATCTGGAAATGGAAATGTTCTGTAAGTCAGTCTAAGGCAAGACATTTTGTAGGACGAGAACCTCAGAAATGTAAATTATTGCTGAAAACACTCCTAAAACGAAAGCAACAAGTACCAAATAGCCACGAGGTCTGTGGTTACTACAAGGATCAGACAATAATCAAAAACAGAGGCATCTGTTCCAAGGTCAACGATTGTGCTATAAATAAATGTAAATGACCTATTTAATTAAACTGAGTACCGTTAGACGTAGCACAAACCTGTGAAAGGCTAAAAGGCTAGACTAGATTTCGCAATTTGCAATTTGTTGACCATCATTTAAAAATTGACTCATTCTTCAGATTATTGGAAAGAAAAATACAAAAAAGGTTTAAACTTGTAACATTGTATTCTTCCTCTGTTCTATTACCTTACGTGCTTTGTATGGTATGATCTGCCTGTACTGCATGCAAAACAAAATTTTTAACCGTACCTCTAGTTATGTGACAATAATAAATCAAACATAGGTTGTACATTTTTTACAGCATTACTGGGAATGATGTTGGATTTGGTGCTTATTAAGTAGCAGGGTTTCATCAATTCACTAAAACCTTTATTTACATTTCTGGTTATTTGGACTTATTGGACATCAGTTTATTTTAACCTTAACGTTCCTCTCCTCTTTGATCTTCTTAAAATGTGTTTCTAGCTTGTGAACAGCACTTGGAAAACCAAACTGATTATCCATCCCTGGTTACACTGAAAGGCTGCTGAAGGGCTTCCCAACCTACCAGATGGTGCACACATAATGGTGTTTGGTCCGGTCTTCAAGGATTTTGAAACAATGGTGATAAACATATGATAGTACGTGTATAGGTCAGGATAGTGCATGATTCAGAGGAGAATGGCTGCTCAGCTGCTACCCCGGCTTTGGGGTCGAGCATTGATAGGGGCTTCAAGTATCACATTTAGCTGACACAAAACTGTCAGATTTGGGTGCACCCTCAAGAGAATAGCCTTTACCCCATGGGAGAGGCATCTGCTGTCCTCTCCCAGGATGTTAACATGCCTGTGCACCAAGCACCAACTCCAATTGCGTCTTTATTAATTCCACACAGCCAGCTACACAAGGCTGACATGATCTAGGCTGAGATGTTGTAGCCTGTTGCGGACCCTGAAGACCAAGTCACTTAAGGTCTACCACTACAGTCATTTAAGTATTCTCAAAGGAAGCTCCATCTCCTCATACTTTAACAACCGCTGATACCGCTCATCGGAACAATGAATAAAAAAATGACCGAGAGAAAGAGAGTCCAGTGTAGTGCTGAAGTTGGGATCTCATTATAACCATACAATGCAGCATACAGCTAATAATCTGGAAATTCAGTCAGAACTGTACTGCAGTGATCTTCCAGAAAGGCCCAAAAAGTGCTAGCATTACCTGAACACACCATTAGTTTGCTTAATGAGGTCGCTGATTCCCTCATTGTAAACCACCTCTGCATCTACAATGGTTTCCAGACTGGAGTCATGTGCCATGTCTGGAAGAGATTTGCCACTGTCACCAAGTGTCCAGCCTGCAACCTAATGGTCTGCTTCTAATAAAGGCAGCACAGAGTGCAGGATGGATGACTTATGATCACTGCTTACAAACCAGATTCTGACCTTCACTGGTACCTATAGTCTCAAACAGCCTGCACATTCAGTGAGTGAACATTC